GGGAGCTCTGAAATAAACCTTTGAAACGGTTTTCTACCTTTTCCTTCTTTCTTTCCATCACCAAAATCAACTTCACACCCGTGAACTCAAACATAGCAATGCTTGTGGGGAAGGCACAGGACCAGCGAGGGTTCTGTTCTGTTGTACGCAGGGTCAGGCTGAGTGGGAACGGACTCAGGGCCATCTGATGGGCTCCGCAAAGAGCAGAGAAGCAGGCGGAGAGGGGCGGAAGCTACAACTACAGGGAGGCCTCGAACGTGGGCAGGAGGCTGAGCTCCGGTCCAGAGAAAGAGTTCTGAGAGGGGGATGGCAAGAGGCAGAAAAACGAAGCGACCCGGTGGCAAGAAGAACTGCAGGTGGCCACCAAAGAAAGCAGGGGGACAGCCAGCAATGGTAGCGACTAGGCAACGTCAGAGCCTCTCTCTGATTTCTTTCTCCCCAAGACCTGGTCTTAGCAACCTTCCTGCGCTTGGGCTTCGGTGAAGTTTCATCTCTTCTTTGCCCACTGCAGAGTTTAGCATCTTCCTTCCCGGGCTGTCATTACTGCGGGGCCTGGTTCTTGTTTTCCCATTTCTTTCTTTTCCCCTCGACAATTTTATTGGCAGAGCATTCACATATCCTACAATTCAACCCTTCGATCACATCAGGAAGAGCTGGTTCTTGTTTTTCCTCTCATTCTGCGCAGGTATTTGTTTGTTCCTTCCTCTCTCTCTCCCAGCTCAGCTCCCTCTGCCCACAGACACCGAGGGCAAGGCATCTAAGGTGCAGCTCTTTCTTTCTACTTGTCCTTGTAAAATGAGCATCACAGTGCAAGTGGCTGTCATCTGCAGAGAGGTTGTGGTTTATTCCTTAGTATGCCAAACTGCATATTCCCAGGGCCCCATGCTTTAGGACCAGCCGTGCTGCTGTGTATAGATCTGATCTGTGGCTTCTGACTGCTGTGCAGTGTTCCACGGAGGGCAACCACTCATCCTACCTGCCCTGGCCATTGGCGGGCATTGAATGTGGCGACCCAGTTCTGCCACACACCTCCTCAGACCCATCCCCCAAGCCCTTGTGCAGGAATCCAGGGTGTCTTAGCTGGGCCTGAGCTATGACAATCATTAATTTGACTGAGCACTGTCTGATTGCTTTTCAGAATGCTGCATCAGGCTGCACCCAACCAGCACTACTCACAGATCCCTGCATGGCCCACATTCTAACCAACACAAGGCATCATCAGCTTTCAGAGGGGCAAAGTCATGTCTCACACTTAGGCTTAGGAATTGGAGCCTCTCTATATAACATGTGTGTCCTGAAGTGGCACCTTCTATCACACACACAGTTTACATGTCCGCGTGTACACGCTTGCACACATTCACTCAAGCCAGTCTGAGAGTGTCTTCATCCCAGGGCCAAGCACAGTGCCTGCCATACCTCACTAAGTCCTTGTTGGATAAAAGCAACTCAAAGAGTCTGAGCAGCATCTGGTGGTTGGGAGATTTATAAAGTCTTTGAGCACCCACCTTCCTGATAAGATTGCTGAAGACAAATGTGTGCATAAGTAAACATGGTGAAGAAAACTGATAGTGCCC